CACAAGCCTCCTCCTGCAGACAGTGAGAGTGTGTTTATGTTGTCATACTGTACCAAGTTTGTTATACGATATTAACTCTATAACTTGACTGCACCACCTTTGTAAGGGAATCTTCTGCAGCAATGGAGAGTCAGGACTCAGAGAGACACGAGGAGAGTTGGAGCTTTGATGTCAAACACTGGTAGTTTATTACAAGTCACAGCAGCAAAAGGTTCTGACTGCACGGGTGGGTTGCCATGTCAATTCTGATCAGCCTATCTCTCGATAGACCTTTTAACTAGTTTACAGAGAGTTAATGAGCATATTGGGGGAGGCGTAAACATCTGTGGAGCTTAGAAAGCCAGCGTTCTCACAGCCGTAAACCATTTCGTGACCGAGAGTTGAACTGGTTTATCAAGATAGCTGGAGCCTCCCATTCCTTAAGAGATAACAGAGCCAGGGTTTGGTCGTAAACGTCAACAGGCAATAAGGTTAAATATTTTAGGAGTAAGGAAGAATTATTCCCTCACAACCTACACATCCTCACTATGATAGATGGTTGGTGTTGACATGAATATTGAGTTGTTGTAACACATATTTGAATACAATGCAGAGATTTAAAACTACAGAGAGTTGACAGCTCATCTCATCACTTCAGGGATGACATAGCTCTCTAGGAGGATACATGTTGCCAGTTACAATGTTCTCAAGTGAAAAGCATCAATCAATTTGCCAAGTCCCAAACAAAGCCCGAAGAAGATCTCAAAATGGTGCGCTACATGTATTGGGAGTTATTTGTACAGTTTATGGATCTCTTGTCAGGATTGTCTCTTAAGTTTCTGATTAACGACCTCTTAAAGTATTTTGGTCAAGCTCACCTTTGACTATATTTAACTTCACCTTTCTCTTTATATTGACTTTGTGAAAGTACAGAGATACATACAAAATTGGTTCATCGGGCAATACATCAAGATACATTTAACCAACAGTAACCCTTGCTTCCTAATCTGTGGCCTCAAGGGGGGGAATGCTTCTTAGATAATTACACTACAACCGTAATCGACATCTGTTTAATGATTGAAAACATTTTAGCACCTTGTTTGCATTTATTCTTCCTTCTGTCTCTCCAGAAATCCATTCTTGTTATATTGACTCTACTTGAAATTAGTTGGTTGATAGCGAAAGAGACCAATCTGGGTTGAAAGATAAGTCTTTAAACAGCTGATTATGGACTAATCAATCTGCCTCAAGAGGGTTTATGTAATCAGAATGCTGGGGTGGTGGCAGAGAGAAACTGCAGATCAGGCTGACATTGTTACAGACACCACTATGTGGGAGCACGGAGGGTTCCTGTCCTTTCTGGCGGCGACTGTGGCTGCGAGGGAGTGCGGTCGTCTTTCAACCAGAAGGTTATGGGTTCGATCCCAGCCCATGTAGTCAACATGTCGATGTATCCTTGGGCAAGATACTTAACCCTGAGTTGCTGAGTGTGTGAATGTTAGGTCCGATACACTGCTCTGTATGAATGGGTGTGAATGGGTGAATAACATGTAGTGTGTAAAGCGCTTTGAGGGGTCTTAAAGGCTGGATAAAGCGCTATATAGGTACAGTCCATTTACCATTTCTTGTTCACCATTATTTCAAAGTGTCCAAGTTGCCATGTAGTGGTATATGACAGCTAAATGTGTCTGTTCACGACTGGTACAAACAGGGGATTGACCGTATAATGTGAGCGTCTTTACAGAGTGTATGATGTAACTTTTGGCTATTTAAAGAGGGCATAGATACGTAGGTAGATGGCAGCACTACTGACACATTCAGATCTAACTGCTGTAGAAAAATGCTAAGAGTCGCTTCAACAAGGAATTTCCATCCTATCTATACGTGAATGTGCATTTGAACAATATGTTGATGGATGCTCAGCTGCTCTGGTAAATAATGCATTATTTGAAGGTCATGTGTGTATGAGGCATGTCATTATACTGTGCATAACACAGCGTGGCATGTGTATGTACATACACAGACTATCTCTCTGCGTTCATTTCTGCTGAAAGCTATAATTTGACTATTTTGTTGCCTCAGCAACGGTCGATGTAATCTACCTCGATGCAGGATTTGAGAAGTAGTGAAAGGAGATGTAGGCAGACAACAGAGAGCTATGATGGTGGAAATGAGATAAGACAGAGAAGAGAGGAACGCAGAAAGATTGTACTATATTGTTTGTACAGTGATTATTACAATTAAGCTCTACAACACTACACATACTGCTTCCTAGGAGTTACACAGTGTTTTAATATTACACAAAAATAAATGCTCTGCAAGAAGACAGAAGTTTAAATCTGAAAATGAATATGAGATATTTGGCTGATTTCACCCTCTAATGAATACCAGTGGGGTTTAATTTATTCTACTGTAGTTACACCAACATACGAAGCAAGGAAAAGACATCAATCAAATGAGAACAATAATTACATCTACTCAGTGAGGTTGTAAAAACCTGCAGAGCAACAAATCCCACTGACACTGGATTAGTCAAGTGTTTCTTAAATTGTATTCATTTCTAATGGAGGTAAAGCAAGTGTGGGGAACACTGTTTTGACAGACACTCTGATTCTCAAATGTGCAGTTTATGATGCGTTTTTTATGTCCGTCTTCAAGCTTGTGCTTAAATTCATCATTCATTTGAACTCCACAGAATGCAACCTGTAACGTTGCACCAAACACAGCAGCCCATACGGCAAATCAAGCTGTAGTTTCTGTATCACATTACACACTGTGTGTTTCCTTTTTCACTCCTTTTTTTTGTTTTGAGACTGGGATCCACCCCAAACAACCTTGCAAATCCTATTACAGTACTCCGGGTTTTCAGCAGTGGTTGCCATGACAACTGTGGATTTTATTTCTGGCTCCTTTTGAAATGGTGTGAGATCAGAGATCCCAAATGTTATGTAAGACGATGTGCACTGTTCCAGACTGGGGTTTCCTGCTGCAGAGAACTCAAAGTAATTAATTACAGGGGCATGGTAGGCTCTCAGGAAGCTTTAGCATTGTCTCTACATTTACCTTACAGCTCTTCTCACATAGTGGTAAGAGGGGGGCTTTCATTGTTATGCAGGAAGGATGATCAGAGATGCTTTTTAAAAACTTCGAAAACTTGTGCGTATTTTAGATCTCGTCTTGAATCTCAATAGTCCACAGAGGAATATAAATGTGGATTATTGCATCAGTCAGAGAGGAAGTTAAATGGAGAATAAAATAAATATTGCCAGTGCTTTTAATTGTATTACATGACACTCTCAGTCAAGCATGTAAGTAAGTAGATAATCAGTTGTTGGATTACAGCATTTCATTATTCAACATCCATAACATTCACCTGTTTGTAACTTATGTATCACTTGTATATAGACTCTTATGGCACTACTTCCATTCTATTCTATTGTATTTACTTGCATTATTGTATCTGTTGTATTGTGTTGCTCTGTTGGAGGAGCTTGGGACCTAAGATTTTCATCGACATAACTACACTGTAGCTATGTACGAATGACGATAAAAGCCTTGAATCCTTGAAAAAGTANATAACATTCACCTGTTTGTAACTTATGCATCACTTGTATATAGACTCTTATGGCACTACTTCTATTCTATTCTATTGTATTTACTTGCATTATTGTATCTGTTGTATTGTGTTCAGGGCTCGAGCTTAAGGACGTCCCGTCGTCCCGGGGCCGAAAAAAATTGTGTCAGGGAGGATAAAAAATAATTTTGGGACGAATTTGGGACGAGAGTTAAAATAAAAATACCCTGCTAACTCNGATTCAATATTAGAGTAATTTTCTCGTTTGTGTGTTTGTTTAAATATATTTGGCCTTTGTTCATGTGATTGACTGATTTACTCAAATAAAAAGGTTGATGAATTATCATCTAATGATTTGTATGATGTTTTATTTATGTTAAAGGTCACTTTGAATGATTTTAACTAATGATAAGTAGTAGAAAAACTAATATTTTAAATTCGGGACGGTCCACATTAATTTCGGGACGGCTTAGATTGTATTTCGGGACGGTTCCGGGAGGATGGTGAAAAAAGTTAGTCGAGAGCCCTGATTGTGTTGCTCTGTTGGAGGAGCTTGGGAACTAAGATTTTCATCGACATAACTACACTGTAGCTATGTACGAATGACGATAAAAGCCTTGAATCCTTGAAAAAAGTATAGTATATATGGATAATCATGTAATTTAAAATAAACTTTAGGAAAACTCTTCCGGTGTTTTAAGTCAATAAAGACCAGAGAGAGGTTTCCTGTGGTGAATGACACAAGTATATTGTGCTAACTTCCATCGTTCATACTCATCATGTCTCACTAATGAATATCTAAAGGACATACCGGTTATCATTCTGTAATTTTTTACCGTTAAATTCTTTTTTATTGACCCTGATATAAATTAAACTCTTCTGAAGGAAAACAATGAAATCAGTTGTGTGAAAATATTCCTATAAATTATTCAAGTCATCATAGCTTAAAGGAGATAAGTAAACTATGACAAATTATACATTAGAATTAAAGTTTCTTTTCATTGAGCTTTAAAACCTCCAAGCTGTTTCTTTCTGGATGAGATAAGATGACACAGTCTATTATTTAATAAAAACTCTTCTCCATACTATATTCAAAGCATCATGGTTACTGTTGTCATGGTTATTATTGTCATGGTTATTATTGTCCCAGTAATCTCCTTTATACTAGGTTAATCCACATTTTGTACCTCATTGGACTGGAAAACAACTGAAAATTCAACACTTTGTAAGAAAAATAGGCTTTGATGCGTACTGTAATACAACTTCTCACCAAACCTAGTTTCTATATTATTCACTGGCTTCATTGGTCCCTTGGTGTATAGTGTCGGAAACAGCATAAACTGTATGGATTATATACATGTACCTAAAGCAACAAGAGTAAGTCTCTCCAACTCGCTTGTATCTTATTTTTTCTTTTTCTTTCTTTCCTCTTCTCCGCTACAGACCAGAAGGTTCCACATTGGTCACCGTCTCGAAAGTTCAATGAAGGCAGACGGCTCCCTCCAGCCAGGAACATGAAGGGCTTATCGGGCAGCCGTTCCCAGCACCAGATCCCTTTACCCTATGGCTTGGACTATGACCCCCACGTCCATGACCTCCACCCTCACCATGGCTCTGACTCCCGCCACTCGTCCTACCTGCTCAGCCCCACAGAGAGCTGCCCCATGGACTTCCACCACCGCTACTCGCCGCGCAGCTCCATCCACTCGGACTGCATGATGATGTCCGGCGTCATGATGCCTCCTGCTGCAGCATCTGACCACATCTCCAGCAGCACCTTCCCCAGAATGCACTACAGCTCTCAGTATTACGACTCAGCCACACGGGACGACTGCGCTGCCATCACAGCCTCAGCCACATCTCCAGCCGTCGCTGCTGCTGCAGCCGCCGCCGCCGCCTCGTCCCATCTCTCCGGCACCAAGAGCAACCGCCTTCCTGCTAACCTAGTCGACCAGTTTGAGAAACAACTGCCGCTACACCGCGATGGCTTCCACACCTTACAGTACCAGCGCACCCACACCACCACAGAACGCAGCGAGAGTCCCGGCCGCATCAGACACCTTGTTCATTCTGTCCAGAAGCTATTCACCAAGTCCCACTCCCTGGAGGGATCGTCTAAGATGAATGGCACAAAGGGTGATGTCATGGGAGGTGGAGGAGGAAGTTATCACCATCATGGCCACCACTCCACCAAACACGGTAGCAAGAGGAGCAAGAGCAAAGAACGAAAGAACCGTTCTGGCGGCTGGTGGAGCTCGGATGACAACCTCGATAGTGACAGCACTTACCGCACACCCAGTGTCATGTCCCGGCACCACGGCGAACCCGTCAGCCACTACTACCCAGAATCCACGCACAGCCACCATTTTGGAGACCTGTCACTCAAGACCTCTAAGAGTAACAATGATGTCAAGTGCATGGCCTGCGAGGGCATGGCCATGGCGCCCGAGGGCAAATTCATGAAGAGGAGTTCCTGGTCGACACTGACAGTCAGCCAGGCCAAGGAGGCGTACAGGAAGTCATCGCTAAATCTCGATAAGCACTCGGATCTCAAGTCATCGCGGACGTGTCACTACCTGCAGGTATGGGGTGCTACACTTCATTTTTGTTGCAGGAGGTTCTGATAAAAGGAATGTGTTTTTGCTGGTGTGTTTCCCCATATACCAAACTGGTGATTTGTTTCACAATAAGTAGAGGTGTTCTGCAATAGAATTAGCCGTTAGCTATGAGTTAAGAGAGAGGATATGTTGCTATCTGTAGACATGTCTATTATACTATCTATGGGGATATCACTATGCTTAATAGTTTATACAACAATTGGTTTAATTTATAGCAATTTAGGAAATGAAAAATTCACTTTCAAACTTTCTTCTCAATTCCAGTTAGTATACATATAATCAATTTTCAATGCAACCTTGACATACGTTCAGTATGTTGCAAAAGTCAAACTGGTCTTTATCTCTCTTAAGACATATTTCAAGGCGGAATCTCATGGGTAGGTTCAAGGGCAGACGATACAACGAACATCTCCTATCTGAAAATATAACAAACAATAATTGAGATCGATATCCACAGATCCCTATAGAGAACTGTCTGAGGTAAATGCAATGATTGATGTATTGATCAGAAATCCAGCCAGGGAAGCCTTTTGGATTCAACTTCTGATTCTAATACTCTCCTGGGGGCAATTACAGTGTCCAGTGTGAGCCAATATATTTAACCAGGATTCCCTTTTGTGTAGTCCCCTCAGGGAGCTATTCTCTATTAAGATGTAGAAATCAATTGAGAGAATCAATGTCATGGTGTAAGACTGAGAATAAAGGACTACCAGAGATAGACTGCAGTGAAGAAAACACACAGGTTGAGGTCTAAACTAAAATAATATACTGTTAAGCCAGAGTTGATGTAGAAGTTTGCACACTAAAATAGGAGTAAATTGTGTTGTTCCCAGATTTTCCGAGCCTCTTATTTGCTATCCCACAGACACTGACTTCTAAAACGAGGCCAAAAGCCAGGTATTTGAGGTTATGGCTCTTTGATTCAATCTCTTTTAACTTTGAATATGCAGCACTTGATTCAGTCATAAAAACATGTTTAGGGGTTAGCTCTGCTTTGGAAAAATGTGTTCCCTACTTTAATCAGGATGAGCAGAGCTGAAGTGATTGGCTGATATTCAAGCTTGGCCCAACTCCCCCTGTGAATGGGTTAGGGGTTAGTATGTATGTCTTAATATTACATTGTGTTTATTTTGCTCCAGCCCTTTTTCAAATTGTGTCAGGATTGTTCTAGTCCTCGCACATCAACAATAATGCCTAAAAGTTATTAGCTATACTTGCATATACACCCAACTACAGGAAATTGAAAACTGAGTTACACTGTACCCATACACATTATTGGAAAAAATAACTAATTGCAATAATATTGACTGATTTAGCTATTGCAATCTCATTCAGGATGACTCATTATCATGGAAAGATTTAGATATTTATGAAGATCATGGTTTGATTTGTTTTAAAGGTTTACAAACAGAGATATTTTATTATGTCCATTGAATGTGATTTGTAGGCCAGGACATCAATGCAGCACCACAATCCTTGATTCAAAAATAATATTCAAATGTATTCGGCCTGGAACAAATGTTCAACCTGCGGTTTGAATATTTGGCTAGCTCGAATTGGGATTTTGGATTAGTTTTGCAGCTCTAGTATCCATGCACTGTCGTGATCATGTAGGCCCAATCCCAAATCACCTCGACCCTACCCCTCCGTGACGGAGTGAACTCCGTCTGTAGCCACACTTGCAGCTGAATGAAGTTCCCTCCATTAAGGGTTAAGGGTATAAATACAGCGGCAAGCTTTGGGACGACCTCCCCTCTCTCCGGCAGAAACAGGAAATGCCGTAACTGTATGTAACAATGGTTTCAAATCAGCATCTCTTTGACAAAAAATGTAAATTAATAACTCAAATAAAACTCCAAACATCTTTCATTGTGTTTCAAAGCTATTTTAGTTTTAAACCTGATGTTTATAAGCTTCTTAGTTTTTGCAACAGTCTGTAAATATACACAACTTTATAATAAAATGCACACATTTACCTTTTTCTAGACTAAACACAGGTATGATCCTAAGTTAAAACATATGAGGTTATCATGAGGTTGTTAACATCGCAGTTTATCAGTGGATGTTTGCTGGAACTACTTGTTAACAGCTTGTTTCCTGACGGACACACACAGCGTGACTCCGGTCAGGTAGAGACCGGTCTCAAGTCAGCACCGCTGCAGACTCGCTGTTTGAGGGCTTGATAGCCCACTCCCCCTCCACACCGCTCCACACTCGTTGCTTTGGAACAGCCCTCAATATGGCGGACCCTCCGCGCGAACGCGCAAACGGAGGGGGAGTGTGTAGGGGTAGGGTGTAGGGGGCGGTTTGGGATTGGGCCTACATTTTAATAATTGCAGTGAATGCTGCAGCTTTCATATAAAGCTACTAGAGACATTTCTGTCCATGCTTAAAAAAGGATTGCAGAAGAGGTTGGATCTTTGGCCAGTGCATGCACTTTGATGCTATGTGAAGTGCACAATCACACACAGACACAAAGTGAAGTTGTTTATGTGCAATGGGGACAGAAAGCCTGTCAATACAGAGGCTCTCTCCCTGGCTTTTGACAAGCTCATGTGTCAGCAGGCTGAGACCCTGCAGCTGCCACTTGGGCACAATCTGCACAGAGCGTGTCCACACTGAGAGCCTTATTCAGAGGAATACGTGAGGAGAGAGCTGTACTAAGGCATGTGGGCGGCACTCTGTTTGCTCATCTGATTTCTATCTGTTAGGTGTCGGGGTCTTTAGGTCTCACTTGTGATGAGGAGGAGATGTCTGCGTTGGGCAAGTTGTTGACATCACCTTGTGTCAGGACTGCAGGCTAGCTGTTATAGCCGACAACTGCTGTGATGACATGAGAGTAAAGCTTATGTCAAACAGAGTAACCATGGTGAAAAATCACAAACCGGAAATGGAAAGTGATTTTTAATGATGTCTTGTGAGCTCTAAATGAGACTCAATGTGGATATTGTGCATCGCAATGTTCCATCCTGATTTTACAAATAACTTCATGAATCATTATCTTAAAAAAAACACACGTTTATATGTTTAAGCCTGCAATCAATCACTTCAAGTCCAAATAGCCAATTTAAAAAACAAACCATTCATTTTCTATTCATTTGCATTTGTATATTGTAACCTTTACATTTTTAGGATTTACTTTTGCTCGTATATAATTAGTTTATTTTAATTTTTACTGGGTTAAGCTTGGCAAACAAAGTGTAAATAAGTAACTGTTTGGCCTGGTCCCAAGATCTCATAGGATGTTTTCAAGGCGATAAAGAGTCCAACACATGCAGTTAAGGCCCTCTGTGCAAGGCTCCTGCATTCCATAAATCACCTAGCTTAGATCAATCATATGTTCTTGCCCTTCCTCGTCTGAAATGTAGCCAGTGCAGTGCTTTAGTGCAATAATGAAATCTCCCAGGCAATGGCAGATAATTAAAAAAGATGATCTGGGGAGGAACCGTGTCTCCTCTTGATGTCTCTATTCAAGAATCTACTGTATGTCCCTAAAGGTTAAGCTGCTGTCCTCCATATAATGTACAGTGGCCATTGCGACAAATGATGTCTTGTGAGGCCCCCTGCATTCAGAGAGTGTGTTACTGTTTGCCAGAATAGACCAGCAGAGCATTTACCTATAAATACAGGACACAGGTGACATTTCTAGAACTGAATTGGGTAATAATCAGTCAAGTGGAGTGTTTAACATCCTGTACTTGCTTATTGCAGTTACAGCAAGCAGGTGACTAAGCTTTTCAAATCTCCTTCATAATTAAGTAGACTTAATATAGGGTCACAAATCACACATCTTGTCATTCCAACAACTAATCAGCAAACTCTGGGAAGCAATTACAGTATACACATTCACTTAGAAAGTAGATATTGTTCTCTTAGTTTGTAAATGTCATTTTATTCTGTGAGAGACACACAATACTATCTGCTACAGTACATGGCCGTACCAAATTACCTAGTTCTACAGCAAGGAGGTGCTTTATCCCAAGGATGTTTTTGTACAAAGTATCCTCGGTGTAAAGAAGTGACTAATGATGGTGCAAAACAGCTTGCCTGTATAGCTGCCTCAGAGGCACAGCTGAACATGTTACTTCAGGTGAAGCATCAAATGAGCACTAAAATTAGGTAATGCTAATGAGATTGGGAGAAGCTTGTTAACTACAGCCCCAGACGATCAATGGTCGTGCAAAAGCAGGTAAATTATTATTTTGCTTTATTGCCATCTTTAAACCTGATTAATTAAGGTTCCAGACAATTGCTGCATTTTATTCCACTCATGTGGGACAGAATAAATGTATGCGTAGCAGATTAGAGTGCGTGATACTTTTACTGATTGGTTTTTAAAGGAAGAAAGGTCAGCTAATTCATTCTACCTTTTTTTAAGCACATGCCAAAAAGATGCTGCCTAATATCACAATATTAGCAAACCTCATGTCCCTACTCTGCTGTTGTAGGATAGCAAAATGTCAATGGGCAATGCTGCCAAAAGAAGTTCATTTGTTTTGGATATAAAGGAGAGATCTAGTAGCATATGGTCTAAATGCTTCAGAACCCTTTCCATCTTGACTATTCGGTAAAAACATCCGAGTAAAATATACGAGATTAATGATGCTGTAAAGACACAGGTGCTATTATTAGCATTTCTAAATCCCTCTACATTTTCCCATTTGCCACCTCCCATAGAGCGGAAACATGTTCATCACTTTAAGTGCCTTATGCTGTCAAGTCTTTCACCCGTCTGCCCCGCTGAAGCGAGCCGTCAAATCAAAGAGGATTTTGGGTGTCCAAAGAACCGATAGTGAGAATCAGAATACCTTTATTAGTCCCCCAGAGGGGACATTTACATTGTTACAGCAGAAAAGAGCCAAAGGCAGCTTAATGTTACCTAAAGCATGCATAGAAAAGTCTTACGGCCCGTCCACACAGCAGCGTTAAAAAAATCTTGAAAATCTTGGAGGTGGGCGTGTCTGAAAGCTTGGGGATTTTTTGCGAGCAACGCGACCAACAACCAATCACATGAATATCCCGCCCCCGACATACAAAGCAAAAAACCCCGGGGATTTTATGCGAGCAATATATAATAATAATAATAATAATAATAGATTTAATTTGTTAGCGCTTTTACAGGTGCTCAAAGACGCTTTACAGAGAAAAGAAAAGAGAAAAGAGAAGAAAGGAACAACAAATAAATATATAGTTAAAGTTAAAGTCAAATAATACAAAAACAATCACACATGAAAAGCCAGATTGAAGAGGTGAGTTTTTGTGAGTTTTTTGAAGGTGGTGAGGTCAGTGCAGTCTCTGATGGGTTGTGGGAGTGAGTTCCAGAGGGAGGGGGCAGCGACGGAGAAGGCTCTGTCCCCCCAGGTCCGGTGATTGGTGCGGGTGGGGATGGATAGGAGGTTGGCTTCTGATGAGCGGAGGCAGCGGGAAGGGGTGTGGTGGTGCAGCAGGTCTGTGAGGTAGGGGGAGGCCTGGTTGTTGAGGACTATAATAATAATAATAATAATAATAATAATAGTATACTTTATTTATACAGCACATTTCAAACAAATTCACAAAATGTTACGAACACATTTAGATTATGTACA